CCTGCTTTCCCTTAGGTAAAGGTAAAGGGGACCCCTGACCATTAGGTCCAGTCGTGACCGACTCTGCGGTTGTTGCGCTCATCTCGCTTTATTGGCCGAGGGAGCCGGCGTACAGTTTTCAGGTCATGTGGCCAGCATGACTAAGCCACTTCTGTTGAACCAGAGCAGCGCACGGAAATGCCGTTTACCTTCCCACCAGAGTGGTACCTATTTATCTACTTGCACTTTGATGTGCTTTCAAACTGCTAGGTTGGCAGGAGCAGGGACCGAGCAACAGGAGCTCACCCCGTCGCGGGGATTCGAACTGCCAACCTTCTGATCGGCAAGTCCTAGGCTCTGTGGTTTAACCCACAGCACCACCTGCATCCCTTAGGACATCCCTATTTTCATTGAAGAAATGTTGGAGGGTATGTATATATGGATGAGATAATTCAGTTGAAGTTAACAATAAAGTTGGAAAAGCTTTCTTAAAATGCCTGCTGAAATAAATAAAGTCTTCACCACACACCAAAAGTTTAACAGGGACGGGGCCTGTCTGATCTCAGCCAGAAATGGGTTCACAACACACATCTCCTGTGGAGTTCAAGACAATGACCTCAGGGATCAGGACTCCCCAAAGTCCAAGTTTAACCAGGAAGTGGTCTGACCATGGCAATCCTCCCCCCTAAAACGTATATGCTGATTGATTAAAAGCAAGAACCACTGCTTAAAAACAGGCAATGGGGATAATGCATTCCTCCCCAATATCTGGACCACTCCTCTCTCTGTTTGTGATGCCCACCAGCTGATATTCAGGGGCATGTGCTGCCTCAGAAAGTGGAGGTAGAACACAGCCCCTGTCTGGGTCAGGACTGGTTCAGCTGCTGGTCAGCATAGCATCTCAGAGACGAGCAATAAATTTGACTACAGAGAAACCTACAGCCAGAACTGACAATCTGTGCCTCCCTCTTCCCTCTAAGTCTCCTTCGTGTCCAGCTGCTTTCCCAGCAGTCTTGAACTCCATCGGGGAGGGGGGCCCTGTGCTCTTTGCTCTGCAAAGCTCTCTGTGCCCTTGGAGACAAGGGAGGAGGGGAGCTGAATACAGTAGGACTGGCAGGCTCCTGTGAATCTCAGTCCCCACCTCCTCTGCAGTGCTCTCTGTCTCTTCTTCCTCTCTCTCACTCTAGCCTGTTGCTTTTTCAGCACCCATCCATTCTGCCCTCACTTCATCCTCTGACCTGTCTTCCTTGTCCCACCACCACTCCCCTGGCTCTGAGTCTTCCTCGTCTGAAACTTTCCTGAAGGGTTTTCTGGCTGCAGCCTCCCACCATTCCTCATCGTCCAGCCAGTCCACAATACTCTGTGGCTAGTAGCCACTACTAGCACTACCCTCCATGGAATTGTCTAGTCCTCTTTTTTTAAAAAAAGAAGAAAAGACATCTTCCCATGTAGCTGGCGAGCTATTTCAGTGTTTGTTTTAATCTTAGTCTTTCTTTTTTAACACCTTCCAGGCGATAACAGCTTTGGTGGGAAACGCAGTTCGGGCTTCTTAGCAGCTGTGACAGAGTCAGGTGAGGGGAAATATAACAAAGAGCATCATCAAAGCACCATCTTGTTGGGTTCTAAGTGGAGGATCATGCTGCCTGCAGCAACGAGACGATAGGAGGTGCGCACATGCTGTTTGGGAGAGGTGGCTCGGTGACACTTCTCCTATAAATAAAAACTGTCGAGCCAGCCTGTGTGAAGTATCCAGATCCCAGAAAAAGAAGCTTGCTAATTAGTGTAAAAGGTACACCGTGCTTCATTAAGGACACGGCTGCTCCATCTCCTAGCTGCGCTTCCTGTTGACAGCTGGTTGCAGGCCAAAGTTCAAATGGTGCAGCTCCCTGTTAACTCGATGTCAGTGCTGGGGAAAGCTGCACTTTGGGAGTAGGAAAATCAGTTATTTAATCAATCACTTAGTCCTTAGAAATGTAGGCAGCTACCTTTGCACATAGTTTCAATTCCATATGAATTGAATTTGAATTGAATTGAATTTGAATTGAATTGAATTCCAATTGAATTGAATTGAATTCAAATTGAATTGAATTCAAATTGAATTGAATTCAAATTGAATTGAATTCCAATTGAATTGAATAGTTTCAATTCCATATGAAACATATGCCTTTGCACATAGGTTCAATTCCAGCATCTCCCGGCAGGGCTGGGACAGATGCTACTCTGAAATCATACAGGGTTGGATTTGATATCCCGCTTTATCACTACCTGAAGGAGTCTCAAAGCGGCTAACATTCTCCTTTCCTTTCCTCGCCCACAACAAACACTCTGCAAGGTGAGTGGGGCTGAGAGACTTCAGAGAAGCGTGACTAGCCCAAGGTCACCCAGCAGCTGCATGTGGAGGAGCGGAGACGCGAACCCGGTTCACCAGATTACGAGTCTACCGCTCTTAACACCACGCTGGTTGCTGCCAATCAGTGTAGAAAATACTGAGTTGGTCTGAGCAATGGTCTGACTTGGTATAAGGCAGATCCTGACTTTCCTAAGTTAACAGGACTATGAGTAGCACATCTGGGGCTGGGGATTCTGTTTAGAGTGGACACTAGCACTTCACCAACAAAGAGAACCAGAGAATTGCACAAAGTTCACCTATGTTGATTTATAATTTAAGTAGGAATATTCAGTGTTGTCAGCTGCTTTATTCTGTCTCCCCTGCTTCCACCCTGGGCAGGACCATCTTGTGACTTAACTTCTGGACAAGGAGCAAAAAAAAGAAAAAGAAAGACTAACTCTCTTCCCCATTGGAGGAGTGGAACTGTACCTGTAAGACTCTGGCATGGTAAGAGGTTCAGGACCCCTGCCAGGGGATGTGCTGTGCCATGACTGTTGTTCTAGCATATCAGGGCACAACACCCGCTTTTCAAGCAGAAGTTCCCATGTTCAATCTTGGCATCCCCAGGTAGGGCCAGGAGACACCCCTGCCAGCCAGCGGAGACAAATACTGAACTAGGTGGAGCTGATTTGGTATAAGGCAGCTTCCTTTGTTGCAAATGAACAAAAGAACAAGGTTTCCTTAGAGAACTTGGTGGCCGGCCTTTGTGCTTTTCAACCGTGGCTTGACCTACAAATATTAGCAAACGGCAAGCTTTATCTGCATCCCATGAAACATTCAACTGTAGGTTTTTGCAGCTCCATCAGCACTTAAAGGTAAAGGCCAGGTAATTCCTATCACACGCACAAACACACACACCACCAGGTGGCTGGCAGCCTTAACTTGAAGGTTGTGTCCTCATTTTCTACAAAGCAAAGGCAAAACCTGCTGGCTCAGTGCATCTCCACCTGCTTTTGTGTACGTAATGTGCTTCCCAGAGCACTGGGCGATGTACACACCTTCAAAGCCAAGGGTGTATAAAGGTCTACTGAAGCCAAGGGCACAGAAAGGTTTGTTTGCAAGTTGCACTGAGAGCCAGAGAATTGGCAGGAATGCGGTGACTTTCGTTCACCTTGAATGCATACCTTATTTGCATTAGGGTGGCTCTGTGTTTTGCCTTTAGAGAGGACCGTCTCTCTGTTTGAAGAAGGTCATCTGGTTTGAGTCCAGCCTAAAGAGTTATTTTTGTATTCATTTAAATAAAGAATATGCAAAACCAAGGCAGCACAAAACGTAAAGATGTAATACTACCAAATCATCAGTTAAGAATGGTTTGTGTAACAACAACAAAAGCCTCCCAAAGGGCCTATCTGAACAGGTACAGGTTTGTAAAGGTAGCTCAAAGAAAGCAGCACTGATTCTGGCAGGACTTCTACTGGTGGGATGTTCTGCAGGGGGCAGTCTGGCACTCCAAAGGCTTGGTTCCTGGTGGAGTCCAGCCAAATCTCAGGGCCATGGGATGACCAATGAAAGTGCCCTGCCAGAAGATGTCAGTGATCAAAGTGTAGCATGTAGAATAGCAAATAATTAAGATACATTGGGCCCAGGTAGTTTAGGGCTTGCTGAATAAACCTAAGAGCCAGGGGGCATGTCGTGGTTACTGCGTCCTGGGAGACCTTGAGATCAGTCAAGTTGCAAGTGCTAGCTTAACTGCATCGGCACACTCTGCCTCGAGCAGTGGTTTTCAACCAGTGTGCCGTGGCACCCTGGGGTGCCTTGAATGATGGTCAGGGTGCCATGGACAACACTGGCCTCTGTCCCTCTTTCCTTCCCTCCCTCCTCTGATGGCCTCTCGCGTCTCTGCCTCCCAAAGGCTTACACAGCTGTTTGTTGCAGCAGCCCTGGCTACAAGCTCGCCAGGCGAATGGTGCCAGTGGGTCTACTCTGAGTAGGGCTTACTTGGCCATGGACATACATGTGATGGCGGGGTGGGTGTGCTCTAACTCCTTGATCCTTGCTTTGGCAATGAAGCATAAGCATGTTCACCAGGGAACTGATAGTTACTTCAAGGGCTCAGTGGCCCAGGCTCATGACCCAAATGTGCATACAATCTGCAAATGCAAATGAGGGGGGGGAGCAGGGAAAGCAGCAGAAGATCTGGGGCCTGTTGCAAATAACAGGCATGTTTAGCCTGGAAAAGAGGAGACTGAGAGTAGATACAATATCCATCTTCAATGATCTAAATGACTGCCACCAACATTGTTTTCTTCTGCTTTGGAGGCTAGGACCTGAACCAATGGAATCAAGTGACAAGAAAGGAGATTCTGACTAAATATCAGGAAGAATGTTCTGACAGTACAAGGACCAAGCAGGCTTTCTTCCTGGCCAACAGATGAAAGATAATATAAGGAATATCGTGAATATAATTGACTATTTGATGGCCAGGAATGAAAAGCAAGCGATATTAGTTTTTGTGGATGAAGAAAAGGCCTTTGATAATATATCTTGGAAATTTATGATTAAAAAATTTGGAATTAATGGGCATTGGACAATCATTTATAAAAGGAATAAAAGCAACATATTCTGATCAAAAAGCAAAATTGATAGTAAATAATAACAGAAAATATTGAAATTATGAAAGGTACAAGACAAGGGTGTCCACCATCACCATTATTATTCATTTTGGTACTGGAAGTCTTTCTAAGGACTATAAGGAAAAATGAAAAAATAAAAGGAATTTCAGTCGGTTGGAAGGAATATAAAGTGAATGCCTTTGTAGATGACTTGGTATTCCTTGGAGGTTTTTAAGCAGAGTTTGGACAACCACCTATCACAAATGCCTTAGCTGAGATTCCTGCATTGCAGGAAATTGGACTAGTTGACCCCTGGGATCTCTTCCAACTCCGCAGTCCCATGATTCTATCCAAACCCTTACAACTTGACACAAAGCACTCATTGTTGCAGCTGGTTGGGTAAAGATACAATATTTAATTCACCTCTGCGCTGAAACATGGATGGTCTGCACCCTTTCAGAGAGACTAAACAGAACTTCGTGGCAGCCACTGAGGAACACTGGCCTCAAGGGTGTGAAATGCGACAGGCCGCCGGCGAGCGCTATAGGCTGTACTAGGTGGCTTGACGTAGGAGACCATGTAGACGCTGTTCATCCCTCCAGGCACATTCTGGCCCCATTTTTTCACAATGTGCTCGAAAAGCCCATAGTTGGTTGGTGGTTCTGAAATGAGGACAAAGGCAAAAGTGGGCAGAGAAACTGTACTAGTTTCTACACACAGTCACCCATTCCTCTGGATCCTCTGTGACTAAAGAGGAGGTGTGACCTGGAGAGAGTCATGAAGGCCAGGTAGAGAGGACCAAGTAGAGAGGACCTTGGATCTGAATTTCTCCACCCTTGCTCTACGGATGGAGGTATTTATTTGAAAGTTCTCCTGCACCCAGAGCAGCTTGCCTGCATGTTAAGATCAATGACAGAGGCTCTTCTCATTTGCCTGCCACTCATGACAGGCATTCGGGACAGGGCTGTCTTTGCAGTAGCCCCACAGCTTTAGAATTCGTACCAGGTGGCCTTAGAGACCCACCTGTTTTCATTGGCTTATCCTTCTTCTCTGTTTTGTTACTGAGCTTCCTGGGATGATGGTCTTACAGAAAGTATGCAGTTTATTTATTTCTGGGCTTAGCACCCGGGTCTTAGGTTAGGTGAAATGCTGGAAACAACTTTGATGTGATTTGTGCAACATTTTTTTTCCTGATGTGATTTACTGATTTACCAATTCAGAAACAAGACCTAGCCATTCAAACTTTGAAATTCAAGCCCTCAACAGCTTGGGACAGGTTTACTTGAATGATCTCCTTACCCTATATCTGCCCACTCAACCACTTCCATCTGTGCAACTAGCACATTTACAAGTGTCACATAATGTCCGTTCTGCACTTGTAATGAATCAGTGCTTCAGTCTGGCAGCACCAACTCTTTGGAACTCCCAGACTGTTGATATTAAGCCCCCGATGCATATTATGCTCTAGGAGGCTTCATTTGGTCAGAATCGAGTATACACTTCCAGAGATAATGCTAAATGCATTACTTCTGGTAAATGAACCACCATAGATGCTAGAGGGCTGGAAAAAATGTGTCCTGGGCTTTTTAGCCTTGCCTACCCAGGTACTCTCTGAAACTAAAAGGACACATTGTTTGCCAGATGTGAAATATATTGACATTATTTTCAGCTCTCCTACCCCATTAATGTAAACTGCTTCATGCTTTGGTTTGCTTTGCTTAAGCAGTATATTAATCTTTCCAAACAAAATATCTAACCAATGAATTATCCGGGCAGAAACACAAGTGAGGAGAATATTACAAGCACTGTGATGCATAGGTAAAGGGACCCCTGACCATTAGGTCAAGTCGTGACTGACTCTGGGGTTGCGGCCCTCATTTCGCTTTATTGGCCGAGGGAGCCGGCGTACAGCTTCCGGCTCATGTGGCCAACGTGACTAAGCCGCTTCTGGCGAACCAAAGCAGCGCACAGAAACGCCGTTTACCTTCCCGGCGGAGCGGTCCCTATTTATCTACTTGCACTTTGAGGTGCTTTCGAACTGCTAGGTGGGCAGGAGCAGGGACCGAGGAACGGGAGCTCACCCCATCACGGGGATTCGAACCGCCGACCTAGGCAAGTCCTAGGCTCTGTGGTTTAACCCACAGCACCACCCGTGACCCACTGTGATTCATAGGGCAAAAATAAAAATTAAAATCTGTGTGTTTGGATGACTTTCTTGGCATTACAGTGGTGCCTTGCAAGACGAAAAGAATCCGTTCCGCGATTCTCTTCGTCTAGCGGTTTTTTCGTCTTGCAAAGCAACCCCATTAGCGGCTAAGTGGATTAGCGCTATTAGCGATTTAGCGCTATTAGCAGCTTAGCGGGCTTAGCGGCTAAGCTGTTAAAAGGCTATTAACGGCTTAGCGGCTTTGAAAAAGGGGGGGGAAGCAGAAAAAAAATGGCGAGACTCGCAAGACGTTTTCGTCTTGCGAAGCAAGCTCATAGGGAAATTCGTCTTGCGAAGCGCCTCCGCAACGGAAAACCCTTTCGTCTTGCGGGTTTTTCGTCTTGCGAGGCATTCGTCTTGCGGGGCACCACTGTATGATGATGCTAGTAGTTTTATGTAGTTTTTATGTAGTTTTTATGTAGTTTTATGTAGTTTTGTGGTAGTTTTATGTAGTTTTGTGGTAGTTTTATGTAGTTTTGTGGTAGTTTTTATGTAGTTTTATGTAGTTTTTATGTAGTTTTCAATTTCATTGTTCCGCAAGGGACAATAACAATAAAGATATCGTATATCGTATGATGGAATAAACCTGTCAATAAACCAAAGGCCTTAATGAGAGGAAGGGATGGGCAATCCAAACAGCATGTAGAAGAGATGGAGAACCTGTAACTCTGTGAACGTTACTAGACTACAGATGCCAACATCCCTGCCCATTGGTCATGCTGGCTGGGACTGCTGTCCAATGACATCTGGAGGGCCACAGGTTTGCTAGTTACAATATTCTTTTAATTCAGGGATGGGGAAGCTGTGTGAACATAGTTCAGATGTTGCTAACTACAGCTCCCTTCATCTCTGACTATTGACCATGATCAGAGTTGGAGGCCATCAACATCTGGAGGTTCCTACAGTATTCACACAGGATCCCTGTGGAATAGATACTTGGGATGTTAATATAATAATAATAATAATTTATTATTTGTACCCCGCCCATCTGGCTGGGTTTCCCCAGCCACTCTGGGCGGCTTCCATAGAAACCAAAAAACACTAAAATATCATACATTAAAAACTTCCCTGAACAGGGCTGCCTTAAGATGTCTTCTGAATGTCAGGTAGTTGTTTATCGTTTTGACATCTGATGGGAGGGCGTTCCACAGGGCAGGCGCCACTACCGAAAAGGCCCTCTGCCTGGTTCCCTGTAGCTTTGCTTCTCGCAATGATGGAACCACCAGAAGGCCCTCGGCGCTGGACCTCAGCGTCCGGGCAGAACAATGGGGGTGGAGATGCTCCTTCAGGTATACTGGGCCGAGGCCGTTAATGGGTCAATGGGATGTTAATAGGTTAACAGGACCATATAATAAATGATGGATTGGTATGCATGATGAGAGCAACTTCCCCTGTTGTCAACCTTCAAGGTTGCCTTGTCTCTTTTTCCTTTTTTTGAGATGCTACCACATACCAACAAGTGGGTAGTCTGTCTTCTCTGGGATCCAAGCCATTTTGTGTCTATTCCATTTGCGAAGCGGAGGCAGCAAAGGGTTGTAGCCGTGCCTATTATATTGATCGTCATATTGCGATACTAAGTGATGGTGTCTCGGTTCTTCATGGTGGGTCAATATGTACTTCTTTGGCAGGCCCTAAAGTATAACACATGCCAAGCTTTAGCACAAGAATCCATTCTGCCTTTGGAGACATGCAGCCCCAGACCTGGATCTGTCTTCCCACCCTCTCTATTACTTACATCCAGCTGCTTCATAATTCTTTTCATCACGATTCGGTCTGGAATCTGAGCTGGGTAACGAACGTAATCTCGGTCGTAGGTGCTTTCTCCGGTTCCCTCATGGTCACGTATGAACTATGAAAATGCAGACAAGTGGCAGTCACTCTTTGGGAAGCAAGCATAGTTTATTCACGCACCTTGGAGTCCTGGAGCAAAATTCTGAGCCTCTCAGATTCCACAGCAGGGGTAAGGAACAAATGGGCCTTCATATCTTCTTGGACTCCAGTAGTGGCTAGCATGTGACTCTCTAGATGTAATAAGACGCCAGCTCCCATAAACCCCAGCCAGCGTAGTGGAAGTTGTAGTTCATCAACTTCTGGAGTCTGTCTAATCCTGTGCTCCCTAATCTCAGGTCTCCAGCTGTTTTGGACTACAACTCCCATCATCCCTGATCTCTGGTCCTGCTAGCAAGGAACATGGGAGTTGTAGTCCAAAAACAGCTGGAGACCCAAGGTTGGGAAACCCTGGTCTAATCCTTTCTTAAAGCCACCCATCTTCTGCGAGTGAATTCCATAGTTTAGCTCTGAAGAAGTGCTTCCTATTGTCCTGGATCTCTGACATTCACATTCACTGGATCTCTCCAAGCTCCGGTATTGTGCATAATCCGATGCATAAACACCGTGCAAATGTTTATACACCTCTATCATATTACCACCCCACGATATAAGCTGGAAAGCCCAACTTCCAACAGAAAGTCCAAGGTAGTCCTAGTAAAGATAGACACAAATTCTCACAAAAACAAAATAACACAATCAGATAAAGCCTGGCTTTCAAAATTACCAGAGATCCCAAATGACTGGCGTTTTCAAAAGGGTTTTCATGTGGTGCCAACAAGCCCTGGTTGCCACTCTGGGAAGAGAACTGTCAGATCCAGGGGTCTCCACTGAGAAGACCCTGCCAGTAGTCACACCCACCTCACCTCTAACATAATGGTCCCCGAGAAATTTATACAGTCATGCAGGAAGTTGTTTTGGACTAATTCACTCCATTGGTCCATGTAGCTCAGAATTGTGTACATAATCATATGACCTTCTGTAGACATCTGAAGGCAGCCCTTTATTGGGATGCTTTTAATCTGTGTTGCTCCGCTGTGTTTTTGTATATTCTCTTGGAAGCCACCCAGAGTGGGCTGGGGCAATCCAGTCAGATAGGCAGAGTACAAAAAATAAATTTATTATTATTATCACCACCACACTGACTGGAAGCAGCTCTCTGTGGTTTCAGATGGGGGAGAGTTTTGCCTGGAGATGCTAGGGACTCCTCCGTCATGCCAAGCATCTGTTCTACCAGCTCATCCTGAGTCAGACCATGGGTCCATCTACCGCAGTATTGTCTACACTGACCAGCTGCGGCTTTCCAGGGTTTCAGAGAAAGTTATCTCCTAAGCCCTACCTGGAGAGACCAGTGGTTGAACCTGGGACTTTCTGCCTATGTCGAGCTGCAGTAGTTGGTTCCTAAACCACACAGAGCTTAATAATAATAATAATAATAATAATAATAATAATAATAATAATAATATATTATTTATACACTGCCCATCTGGCTGGGTTTCCCCAGCCACTCTAGGCGGCTTCCAACAGAATATTAAAATACAATAGTCTATTAAACATTAAAGGCTTCCCTAAACAGGGCTGCCTTCAGATGTCTTCTAAAAGTCTGGTAGTAGTTTATTCCTTTGACATCTGATGGGAGGGCGTTCCACAGGGCGGGTGCCACTACCAAGAAGGCCCTGTGCCTGGCTCCCTGTAACTAGGCTTCTCACAGTGAGGGAACCGCCAGAAGGCCCTCGGTGCTGGACCTCAATGTCCGGGCAGAACAATGGGGGCGGAGAGACTCCTTCAGGTATACTTCGGGTATACTTTATAGGAATGCAAGCCCTTTGATCTGTGCCTAGAAATGGACCAGGAAATTAATGTGTCCCATCAATTTTATCCCATGTTATAGCTGTTGGGGGTGGGGTGATGCTTCATTACAATCTTCTCCCTCCCCTCTCTACTGCAACCACCTGGGATTTAGTTCCCTTTCTTTCTTTCCTTCCCAAACCTACCTTTTTTCTTTCTTCCAGCCAGTTTCCAATAAGTACTTTAGTAGAATATTTGGGTTCTACCTTCCAGCCGGGAGTGTACCATTCCTGTGCATCTCTACACTGAGTAAACATGGTCCCGTTCACACGCTTTGGCAAAGAGTGAACTCAAAAGACTTCCATCTCTGTATGTGCAGAGCAGGACATTTAACCTCTGATGTTCCTTGGTCTCGGGTTGCCTATTGTTGACCATCCCCATGGTAACACTCCAGGCAACAAGGGATTCTACTGTGGTGAAACCAATTCTACTATTCCACTGAAGGCAACAAAACACGTGTTTGTGAATGGACGCAGAATAAGGGGATAATGCTTGCTGCTTACCCTCCAAATATGAGGAATCCAAATCCAGAGGCATGATAGGCTGGGGCTGGTGGAACTGGAATCCAGCAACATGAAGATTACCCACAACTGGATTGCAATCTGACCACTGTGAAGATGTGTGGGTTTGGACAGAAAAGAGCACCATCCTATGCATGCCTACTCAGAAACTACTCCCATTGGGTTAACCTGGAACTTACACTTAGCTAAATGTGTACAGCAGGCACGTCCAACTCCCAAGAGACTGCGATCTACTCACAGTATTAAAGAACTGACAGTGTTGTTGAGCTTTATTTAGGGAGCCAGATTCCCTCATTTTCCATTAGCATGCGCTACCTAGTGGCAGACAGCACTACCACAAATAGCACAATGCACCAAAGCAAACCTATATTGCCCTCTAGGGAAGCCCAGGCAGCTGCAGTGGTGGCTAGGAGCTCACTCTCCCCACCCCCTACCCAACTTAGGCTAGTAGTCCAAATGCAACTCTGATTTGGCCTCCTTTACTCATGCATTTGTTACTTGCCAAGGTAGACTACTGCAATGCATTTAGTGTGGGGCTATCTTTGAAAATGTCTCAGAAGCTTCGGTTGGTACAAAATGGGTTGTATCCAACTAAGTCCTGCTCAGAGTTTACCCATTGAAATTAAAAGATCTATGGTATGTCAAATCTGCTAACTCCTGTGGGTCTGCTGTGAGTGGAGCTAACATCGGATACAATCTGATGTGTCCACCTGGCTATTGTTTTGGACCAGGTAGTCAGAATGCAGGCACACCAACGCCTGTTAGAATTCCTGCTCTGTGATTGCAGTCATGGGATTGTTGTCTTTCACGTGATGGTGTATGTTTTGACTCCAGAGAGTGGGAAGTGACAGAGATAGGATGTTTGTGTTACAGTGTTCCATGAAGTGGGACTATTGTCCTTTGTTTTTCTCTCTCTTTGCTGTCTGATGCTAGAGAGGGAGCCATGTTGCAGTGCTCCTTGTATGTTTATATGTAAATAAAGTAGATTAGCCAAAATGCTGAGTTGCTGAGGTCTGTTACGCAAACTGCAAAGACTCTGCGGATCCCTAAGTGTGCCGGTGTCTGTTGGCATCGGTCGCTGTGATGTTCGGGCTGAAGAAAGCTTTTGAAGCTCCCAAACGACCAGGAGGGAGAGAACATGCCAGTCGGGCCTGTGTCTCTACCAGGTCCTACTCGAGTGTAGGACGAGCTCCTGACAATGCCTAGTGGGGTCTTTGCCTCGCCCCCAATATTTTCTGGTAGAGGGCTGAGCCCCCTTGATGACGAGCAGGCAGAGGAGGCTGAACACAGTGCGGTTCAAAGGCTGGCTTCTCCTGAGCATGAGAGAGGAAGTCACATCACACTGGGCTCCCTGCTTGGCCTACTCCCATCGACACAAGGTCTCTATCCCCTTTCTCCTTGGTCTAACATCATATAATATCTTCATGACTGAGTGGATGGTGGATGGGGATTTGAACCCTGATGTCCCTGATACTAGTCCAACATTCTGACCACCACTCTAATTTTGTTAAATTGTGGGGGTGGGGTAGGGAACCCTCCCAGGGATTTGGGGCTCCAGTTGCTCCCCAGGGATACTGGGTACAGACTCCAGTCTTGCTCCTCTAAAAAAGCATCTTTTTGTAGGAAGGGTTTGTAGGAATGGTTTGCCAAGAATGGTCACATGACTGATCCCCTACAGAAAAAAAGGTTGGCACAAAAAGCCAAAAGATACAAAGCTGTTTCCCAATTACCTTGTCCTTAAATTGGCAACATTCAAACATTTATTGAGGTTGCTTCTTTTCCTGAATATCATCCATATGAAGATTTTTTTTTAAAGGGTTCAACAACCTTGGACCATAGGCACTATTAGGGTTGCCACATGAACATAAGTGTACACAGAACAATTTATTAAACTGCTTAACATGTACATATGAGCTCTCTTTAAGGGCAGGGGGATGTTAACTCTTGCCCTACCAGACTCCTCCTCCAAGATCTTGTATCTTAGCCAGCGTATATCATTATCAATATGTATACAGTGGTACCTCGGGTTAAGTACTTAATTCATTCCGGAGGTCCGTTCTTAACCTGAAACTGTTCTTAACCTGAAGCACCACTTTAGCTAATGGGGCCTCCTGCTGCCACCACACCGCCGGAGCACGATTTCTGTTCTCATCCTAAAGCAAAGTTCTTAACCTGAAGTAATATTTCTGGGTTAACGGAGTCTGTACCTGAATAGTCTGTAACCTGAAGCGTATGTAACCCGAGGTACCACTGTATACTGTTCTCAGTACTGAGAAAAACTCCCTGTGGTTATTAGACCATGATGGCATCAGTGTGTGTGTGTGTGTGTGATTTCCAGCAGAACATAGCTCTATTCCCATTGTAAGCATAAGGTTGGGTGTGCTTCTCTCTGTGTGTGTTATGCCATGCTCCCCACAGCAGCCATTTTTCATTATGCCATACCCCCTAGCAGCCATTTAGTGTCATATCATAGACCCTCCATGGTAGCTATTTTATGACTGGTGCCCCAGCACTCTCTCAAAGTTCAGGATGTTCCCGCCGGTCCAAAATGGTCGGAGACCCCCGATTTAGAAAGATGCTTTTTAGTTTGATAAGCTCTTTATGAAATTGACTATCTTGTCCAGCCCTCTTTTACCAGAAGGGAAATTCAACCAGTCTCTGTCGAAGAAGGTTAGAATCCCGTGGAACCCACTTTCAATGTGGTACCAAGTCACTGCAATGCCATTGTCCTCCAATCTTTTCTTGTAGAGTAATCCATCATCCCTTAGGACGTCATATTCACAGGTCACAATGCAGGTCTCAGGAAGCAGGCGGACAATGGCATCGTCGGCAAGAAGGGGCGAACACTCTGAAGAACTTAGGACCTTCACTTTGTTGTAGACTTCATCATCACAGGGAACTGTCGCCACGGGCTTGTAGCCTCTGGTTTTAAATTCGCTCGGGATGTTTTCTGCACTCAGCCATTTCTTGTACTTCAATCTCAGGTCCACCGGAACATGAGAGCCTTCCAAAATATCTTCGAGGAGCGAAGCTTCCCCATTCACGTGTTGCAATATGTAAAAAGCAGCCCGTTCCCTGAATAAAATGGGCATGGCATGGTTTTGCTGGTATGAAGGCAAGTTGAAGTCTACAGCCTGGAGGCCCGGGTAAATGAGGATCTGTGCCCGCACTTTTGCAAGGCCTGGTCTATTCACTAAACTCTGGGAGATACAGGCAGCCATGCAGCCACCTGCGCTGTCGCCAGCAATGATGACACGGGTGTTGTCCACACCATAGTCTTCTGCCGTCTCCAGAAAGTGGGTGGTGGCAGCAAGACAGTCGTTGAGCGGGGCTGGATACTTGTGCTCAGGAGCCAGGCGGTACCTAAGGCAAAATCAATCCACAGTAAATCATTTCCATCTGAGATTGTGTATGATGCTGCTGCTTTTGAATGATCAAATAACGGCCAGTCCCCATAGGGTGAAAGGCAGGAAGCCCACCAGCAGGTGGAGCCAGAGCCAATGACAGGCAACTAATTCTACTCTTTCCCTTTATCTCCTCTCTGCTGAGTTCTTCAGGAGCAATGCTGAGATTAAGGAGGAAGCAGACAAACCATACCTACTATCTATCTATATCTATCTATCATCTATCTATCTATCTATCTATCTATCATCTATCTATATCTATCTATCTATCTATCTATCTATCTATCTATCTATCATCATCTATCTATCTATCTATCATCTATCTATCTATCATCTATCTATCTATCATCTATCTATCTATCATCTATCTATCTATCATCTATCTATCTATCTATCTATCTATCTATCTATCTATCTATACCTAATCTATCATCTATCTATCTATCTATCTATCTATCTATCTATCTATCTATCATCTATCTAATCTATCTATCATCTATCTATCTATCTCTATCTATCTATCTATCTATCTATCTATCTATCTATCTATCTATCATCTATCTATATTTATCTATCTATCTATCTATCTATCTATCTATCTATCTATCTAAAAAGGGACACGGGTGGCCCTGTGGGTTAAACCACAGAGCCTAGGGCTTGCAGATCAGAAGGTTGGCGGTTTGAATCCTTGAATCCCCGCGACGGGGTGAGCTCCCGTTGTTCGGTCCCAGCTCCTGCCCACCTAGCAGTTTGAAAGCACGCCAGTGCAAGTAGATAAATAGGTAACGCTCAGGCGGGAAGGTAAACGGCGTTTCCATGCGCTGCTCTGGTTCGCCAGAAGCTGTACGCCGGCTCCCTCAGCCAATAAAGCGAGATGAGCGCCGCAACTCCAGAGTCGGTCACGACTGGACCTAATGGTCAGGGGTCCCTTTACCTTTATCTATCTATCTATCTATCTATCTATCTATCTATCTATCTATCATCTATCATCTATCGATCATCTATAAAAATATATTCTACCCTACCTCCCAAAGAAGCTAAGGGCGGCCAGCACACGAATGAAAAAAGCAATTAAAACATTGTAAGAGCAGCTGCAATACAGATGCAGGCTCTCAAAAGGCTTGTTGCAGGAGGAATATCTTCACAGCACCTGTAATATTTAACAAGAGGAGGTAGATGCCACAATACCAATAACCTGCTTCCTACATTGTGTGGAATGGACCTCCTGATAAGATGGCACTGGATTGTAAATAATAAGGCAGCAGGGCTTGGAGGAATCAAGACCAAGGTTGGTGGTGCAGGGCCCCATTTCCCCCTATATGCCATTTAGGCACATGGGCTTACCCTCCATGGCAGTGGCATAGCATGGGAGGGGGCCACAGGGGCATCGATGCAGATGCTATTAGGCAGTTGAATGCTCATGCATTCTGTTTCCCTCCTTCCCACTCCATTGTCCCACATGGCACTGGGTGCTGGCAACCCACGCTACGCCACTGCTCCATGGTCAGGCAGACCTGGAAGGTGGTCACAAGGAATGTTCCCCTTGGGCTGCAAAGGGCGCTCTTTCCCTGAGGTGAGCAATGCTGAGCTAGATAGACAAAAGTCTGGCATGGTATAAAGTAGCCTCTCATGTATGTACAGTGGGTTACCTGACTTGCTCAGTGGTCAGAGAGCCAGGGTAAGTTGCAGCTCACAGGGCAACCACACAATTAGGCTTCCTTCTCCAGCTGGCAAGTGAGCTGCTCTTAACATTTTGCCATGCTGTGGTTGAGTCCATCACAACCACAGGGGGCTGGGGGTGGGGCGGAAAACATTGACTTACTCCACAGACACAACCACGGATTCACTCTCTCGGGCCAAATAGCGGCAGATATTTTCATGGGTTTCTGAAACAAAAATATTCCCAGAGTTATCCATTTATTCATTAGTAAGATGTGATGATTTGATTATGTACCTCCCAGGTGCAACAGTTAATGAGAAGAACCTCATCACCACCAAAAATATATGCCAACAAAATTAACAGAGAACAAACTCCCTGGCGATGTTATTGCACTATATTCACTTGACAATATCAATAGGAGTATAGCATCTAGATCAAGGGAAGTAATAGTGCCACTGTATTCTGCTCTGGTCAGACCTCACCTGGAGTACTGTGTCCAGTTCTGGGCACCACAGTTCAAGAAGGACACTGACAAACTGGAACGTGTCCAGAGGAGGGCAACCAAAATGGTCAAAGGCCTGGAAACGATGCCTTATGAGGAATGGCTAAGGGAGCTGGGCATGTTTAGCCTGGAGAAGAGGAGGTTAAGGGGTGATATGATAGCCATGTTCAAATATAGAAAAGGATGTCATATAGAGGAGGGAGAAAGGTTGTTTTCTGCTGCTCCAGAGATGTGGACACGGAGCAATGGATCCAAACTACAAGAAAGAAGATTCCACCTAAACATTAGGAAGAACCTCCTGACAGTAAGAGCTGTTCGACAGTGGAATTTGCTGCCAAGGAGTGTGGTGGAGTCTCCTTCTTTGGAGGTCTTTAAGCAGAGGCTTGACAACCATATGTCAGGAGTGCTCTGATGGTGTTTCCTGCTTGGCAGGGGGTTGGACTCGATGGCCCCTGTGGTCTATTCCAACTCTATGATTCTATGATTCTATGACAAAATAGGGAAAAGAAATATGTTTTCCCCCATGATAAGGAAGAGAGGGAGGGGAGGAGGCACAGATTCCATCAGGGCCTGTCCCAGTCAGACTCCATCTCCTTTGGCCAACAGGGAGTGGATGAGAGAACAGTAAAATTGTAGAATTGCATTATTGTAAACCATAAAAATATATAAATCCCAAACCTACAGTTTCGTCTAGTTCCAAAATGCAGATCACTGCCCCGCCTCCCAAAAGATTTTTGTCCATTACTTTCCAGTGACTGAAGGAAGAACAGAGAGTTAAGGTGGGCTAAATTAGCAGGTTAATTACAAGCGGAACAAATAAATAAATATAACCCCACTGAAAAGTGGTCCAAGATGCAAAGCTCCAGCCTTATACTGGAAAGCCTTGACCACCCCCTTCTGATTTTTAAGTCTCTTCAAAAAGATTTCAACGTTTTTCCTCTAGAGCCCATGAGGAACAGAAGGCTGATGTTGTTTCTCTAAAGCTAGGATGGGGAATCTTTGGTCCTCCAGATGTTGCTGGACTCAATCATCCCTCATCACCTTTGATAATGCAAGTTGGGACTGACGGGACTTAGAGTTCAGCAACATCAAGAGAGTTAAAGGTTTCCCACCCCATGCTCTAAAGCAGTGTTTCTCAAACTTGGGTCTGCAGCTGTTGTTGGACTACAACTCCCAGCATCCAACAATAGCTAGAGTCCCAAGTTTGAGAAACACTGGTCTAACCTATCTCACAAGGTTGTTGGGAAGATATAATTGCAGGGAGAACTGTGCAGGTCAACTTGAGCTTGTTGGAGGGATGGCGGGGTGACAAAACAAAACAAAACAAAACAAAACACAAAAAACAAAACAGCAGCAACAACAACGATGTACAGGAATCAACAACTACCGTATTTTTTGCTCTATAAGACTCACTTTTCCCCTCCTAAAAAGTAAGGGGAAATGTGTGTGCGTCTTATGGAGCAAATACAGGCCGCGCAGCTATCCCAGAATCCAGAACAGCAAGAGGGATTGCTGCTTTCACTGCACAGTGATCCCTCTTGCTGTTCTGGCTTCGGAGATTCAGAATATTTTTTTTCTTGTTTTCCTCCTCTAAAAACTAGGTGCGTCTTGTAGTCTGGTGCATCTTATAGAGCGAAAAATATGGTACTTTGAAACTTGTCAATAAATGATGGCTGCAGCATGTAGGATTGTCAAGGCACATCCTGACTCCAGAAAGCCCCCTTTGGCTTGAGATATTTTTGTGGATGCTTTGGTGTGGTTAGATGGCTGTCATAGGTGCCGACTCCATGGGGCCTGAGGGGGCCCGAGCCCCCTCAAAAATTCGTTTGGGGGGGCTCTGCCCCCCCAATAATTTAAGAAAATTATTAGTTCGGCCTCATTACGCCCCCCCCCGGTGATTCTCTGCCAGCCGCTTCATTCCGCTTCCACGAGCCTCGGATAGAAGGTGACGCGCGCCGCTACCTTCTGTCGCCTCCGTCACTTCCTGGCTTCGTCTCCCTTCGTCCCCGCCCACTCTTGGTTCTTCGGCGCTCCTGCTCCGCGAGGGGGTCTTCCCATCCGCCGCCCGGAGCTGCGCGCAGCTTCTCTGCTGGAAGCGCGAAGTCGCCGAGGGAATGGAGCACGGGAAAAGCAGGAGGAGACCGGAGGCGCCCAAAATAAAACTGTAACGGCATTCAGCACTCCGCCTCCCCGGTGGGATCCCACACGGGCGGCCGGGCAAACGACGAGCCGAGGGAGAAAGTCTGCCTTTCAGCCCCAGCTGACTGACAGCGGGTTCAAAGCGCAGTCGCCGCTCCGGCTTTCTCTGCACCGGCCGCGCCCGCCCCCCGCCAGCCTAGTTGGCTCCACCCTCCCCGGTATGGGCCCCCCCAATATTTTTTATAAGTCGGCGCCCCTGTGGCTGATGATTTTGAGGAGAAACCTTATTATGAACTAGGTCTTAATTCAGAGGAGATCCCTCTGCAAATGCTCTCTGTGTATGCGTTACCCCACTTCATTCAGATGTTGACGCAGATTAAGTTTGGACATAACTCACGGATGCTTCCGAACACCCAGCCGCCTCCATGAAAGAACACGATCCCCCTCCTTCCACCAGCAGAGGGCGTCTTTGGTTGGTAAATCCGGACAGGCACATGCTTAAACTTTGCGTCTTTAATGAAGAGCGCGTTTTCTTTCCCCAGTTTCCGGCTGTTTCTCACAATCCGCACAAACTGGATTTGTGTGCAGATATGCAGGTTTTCCAAGATCCTTCCCTATTGAGAGTGGGACAGGGAGAAGAAACAAAAGTCATATAGGAATTAACTCGTGGCAAGTTCATCCAAACAACTATTTAGATGTTCAAAATCTAAGGATCATAGTGCTACCCAGCTTGGATGAAACATGCTGGGGCATGAGGACAGGGGAAATCATTTCAGAATTATAACATTATGGGTTACGTGGTGGACATGCCGGATTTAGATATAAGCTAAAGAAGCTATAGCTGAGGGTCCCACACTTTTGGGGGCCCCCAAAAAATATAAAGGAAAAAAAAAACCTGGATGTACATTTCCAAAATATAAGATAAAAAACAAATAAAATAAAACCTACACACAGCAACAATGTTTTGAGTTGTGTAGGCTCCTATGATGTAAGTAATGGGCCCTGCCTGCTAGCCTGCTCCCTAAAATATTCAACACAAAAAACAGTGACAATTTGTTGTTGGCAAAGGACAGCTGGACATATAAAGGGCCCCATTACCTTCAGTAGCTTAGGGCCTCATCAAACCTAAATTTGGCCCTGCGTGGTGGACGCGAAGGGTGATGATATAAGAGAAGACTCCTTTTTTAATAGCTTTTTATTAGTTTTCTTAAATAACAAGCACACACAAAAATTAACAAAATAAAATAACAAAAGGAAAAAACATACCTACATCCATAAATCCCTAAGTTCTTACAACCCCCACAAAACCCCCTTACACCACCATATTCTTAATTCCAAATTATCCTTCCCAATAGACTTCCGTCTTCCTCAAAGCGAGTCTGTCTTATCTTTTTGTTAAACTGCTTCTTTGATCATTTTCCCATTTCTTTTATTATTTGAATGTTATACTTACAATATTTCTTGTAATGTGCAAAAACTTAATCAAAGCATGTCCAGCTTCTGACTTGAGGACACTGTTGTTGTTTTTTAAAAAATATTCTTTATAAGTTTCCCGGTCTTTTTTTAATTTTTGGTTTGGCTGTCTCCTAATTGTCTCTGTCATTTTTGCCAGTTCAAGATATTTAAATAATTTATCCTGACATTAGGTTACGTTTAGGATAAGTACAATAACAACCTTGTAAATGCTTTTTTTTTCTTTTTTCTTATTTATTTATTTATTTACATGGGTGTGTATTAACAATTGTTATTCTCTCTCTCTCTCTATATATATATATAATCCCCCCCCCTATTTTTCAATAAAGAATATTAAGAAGAAGAAAAACCTAGCCCAACTAGGAGAAGGAAATCTCTGCTGCCTTGGGATATATTTGGGAGAAGAACAGGCTAAGCAGTAAACCAGGGGCCAGCAAACATTTTCAGCAGGGGGCTGGTCCACTGTCCCTCAGATCTTGTGGGGAGCCGGACTATATTTTTGGGGGGAAAATGAATGAGTTCCTATGCTCCACAAATATCCCAGAGATGCAATATAAATAAAAGGACACATTCTACTTATATAAAAACACACTGATTCCTGGACTGTCCACAAGAGCCATTTGTGCTAGGGCTGATATTGGGAGTTTTAGTTATGATGTATATGGTATATAGACCTAACGAACTTGACCACTAGTTCCCAACCGGTACCCTACTCTATAACAAGCTTTATTCATAAACAGCAGTTTGTGCAACCTCCTAAGGAAGGTGACAACGCAACAAAATTCAAAACAGTAACAGCTAATTGCACATTTATCCAATATCAAATTAAAACTATTTAATTCAACAACACTGATGAACTCAATCGAGCTTTCGAAAGTCTGATACTCATCGGCACCTACACTACATCCCGCTTGCTTCTTAGCCCCCCCCCCCGGTAATCCCACTGCCCCTTTGGGGGACCGCTGGGCTAGATGAACAAACTAGCTTTTTGGAAGGTATGCTTCAGCTGATTGCTTTGAAGAAAAAGCAGCTGTGGCAATGGAGGCTGATCCACTGGCGGGAATGAGGCCCTGCTCCACCAGCCTCAGCGAGTCCCTGCCTGCCTGTCGTGCCTGTTTATCAACTTCCTCTACCACCACCCTAATCTCAGTGTTGTCCTTGTTTAACTCAGCAAAAGTTGAATTCATTGGCTCCATAGAACTGTACAACTGTACAACTGTGGAGCTGGAAGGGACCTCCCCCCCCCAGGGTCATCCAGTCCCACCCTGCAATGCAAATAAATTCAACAAAACCCCCTCTAGGTAGCCATCCAACCTCCAATGAAAGAGAGAGTCCACCATTCTCCGAGGGAGTCAGTTCCACTGTCAAACAGCTCTTATCATCAGAATGGTTCGTAGGAAACTCTTTCATTATCATTTGAATCCACCGGTTTGGGTCCTACCAACCTGCTGGGATCTTGGTGGTCATCTAGTCCAACAAACAGACACACAGACACCTCCGCAATACCGGCATCTCAACCCTCGGTCCCCCATCCAATTTGAAACCATACCGGACCCTGCTTAACTTTGCAAATGTGCTAGCAGTTTTATTGCTGCGCCACTAGGAGGCCAGCTTGCTCCATCTTCCAATTCACAGCTCTTCAGATATTTTGAGGACAGCTCTCCTATCACCTCTCAGTCTCCTCTTTGCCAGGCTAAACATCCCCAACTCCCTCAACTGTTCCTCATCGAGGGCTTGGTTTCCAGACCCTCGATCATCTTGTTTGCCCTCCTCTGCACACATTCCAGTTTGTCAATATCCTTCTTAAACACCCCCTCTCAATAGCTCTGGTGCCACCTTTCTGATTTTCCCCTTAACCCTGGGTAGCAGCTACCACAGAGCTGCAGAATCCCTCTCCAAATCTGGCACCGGGCCTACACTAATTGCCTGGAGGAAATCCGCCCGCCTATTAACTGTTATCTGCTCCTGAAAGGGCAGTATGTAGTAAACAACACTTTCAAGGGCAAACAGCAGCCCAGGTGTGGGTGGGTTTGCTTCAGCAGGAAAGAGAGTGAGCGGGGGGGGGGGGAATTGAACATGCCTCCTTCACCTCACTGCATACCATTCTCTGTGGTAGCACCTTGCCAGTAGAGCTCCCTTCAGTCTGTGCTCTCCTCAGATATGTTTTAAGAGGTGGCTTTAAACCATTTTATCAGGCCAGAGTTTTGAACTCCCATGAGATAGACCATTTCCTTGGAGTGCAATTTTATTGATATTATTGCAGCAGTTCTGGCCATGCCGACTTTGAAAGTTTAACTTCCATTTTACTTCAGCGCAGCTGTTTCATCTGTTAATGTTTAGGTTCCCTGGGCTCCAAACTGAAAGACGGGCATGATATAAAGGTCTTGTGTAATTGCGTAATATTTTTTTATTAAAAAAATCTGTGTTGACTTTCTTTCTCACAAAGTTTCTTCTTTCTCATTCTTTCATTTATTCATTTGAAGTCTGCCTGTGAGCCTGCTACAAACATTACTGCTCCCACAGCAGGCAGTAATTGGCCTTTGGATGAAAATGTTCCAGAGGTTCTGTCAAACACCATTAATAATTTTTTTAAAACTCTCTCTCTCTCTCTCTCTCTCTCTCACACACACACACACACACACACAGAGAGAGAGAGAGAGAGAGAGAGAGAGAGCTGTCACATCCAGACTGTTTAAAGCACACAGGTTCCCCCAAGGAATCCTGGAAAGTGTAGTTTGATACAGAGCTACAAGTCCCAGCAAACTGCACTTCTCAGGATAAAGGTAAAGGGACCCCTGACCATTAGGTCCAGTCATGACCGACTCTGGAGTTGCAGCGCTCATCTCGCTTTATTGGCTGAGCTTCCGGGTCACATGGCCAGCAAGACTAAGCTGCTTCTGACGAACCAGAGCAGCGCACAGAAATGCCGTTTATCTTCCCGCCGGAGTGGTACCTATTTATCTACTTGCACTTTGACATGCTTTCGAACTGCTAGGTGGGCAGGAGCTGGGACCAAGCAACGGGAGCTCACCCCGTCGCGGGGATTCGAACCGCCGACCTTCTGATCGGCAGGTCCTAGGCTCTGTGGTTTAACCCACAGTGCCACCCAGTCCCTACTTCTCAGGATACTTTGGGGGGAAGTCACGTGCAGCGTGGATGTGACCAGAGTCTCACTCAAGTCACTGCAGAAAGTTCAGCGAAATGCTAGCGCCAAGCAGCTACTCTGAACCTGGAGGATTAATCCTGCCCAGTCGTTCAGCACCAGAGCCAAACTTTTCTGGGTTGCGTTTTTAAACACTGCCAAGCTCGTTCCTTTCCTTTTCCCTCCTCCTGCCCGATAATTCGTCTCTCGTTAGATCTCTCCCTCTCCGACAGGGGGGCGCCTACTTTACCATTCGCGATGTCGGATAGCAACAGGTTAAAATCAGGAGGAGAGCGCAATGGCGCGTGGCGAATGGGGAGGCGGTGAAGTTCGTGGGTTTCCCGCAAGTTACAACCTCGCCTTTGGATGGGGCGCTGCGATCCACTCACCAGGACAGACGCCCCAATCAGCGTGGCGTGAATGATTCGCAACCTGGCCGGGTGCTCGACTCCAGGAGGGATCTCCGAGTTGGCGTAATCGAAATAAATGCTTCCCAGAACCAGCAGGAGGAACGCTGCCAAGAGGGCAGCCACCAGGAGCACCAGAAACGCGTGCAGGAAGCCCATGTCGCTGCGGCTCGGAAGAGCGCCTGCTTTCGCCCTTGGATTTTCCTCCTCACCGATCTTGGCTTGGGCTGTAGCTTATTTCCTGCTTTCTCCCGTGGCTGCGATACTCAGGTTGCAGGCAGCTGGAAGGAGCGTCCCTAATCCCCTCCCACGCGCGGGAGGGAACGAAAGGCGAGCCCGGGTTCCTTCAGAGCAGCAGAGAGACCGACCGAAGCCTCGCAGAATTCGATTGCCACCCCCAGAAATTCAAACGCCCCCTCCCCTTTCCCATGCAAGCCGAGCAGAGGCAAGTGTTGTTGCGCATGCAAAGAAAGAACCAGCGAAAGGTTTTCGCGTCCTCAAGGTTGCTGAAGAGGTTAACAGACTATTGAGACACCCGAACAGGAAGCGCTGCAGAAGGCACGGCGAAGTGAAACTAACTTAGGCTCAGGAGCTGGCCGGGCCAAGTATTTCGTCTCTGTTGCACCTCATTGGGTGGAGAGAATGATTAAATCTAGGAGTCTCCACACAGCTCCAGCGGAGTTGGAAAACCTGTGGCTCTCCAAGTGCAATTGGACCACAACTCCCACCATCCCTGACGGTTGGCCATACTTGCTGGCGGAGCCGTACCTGCGGGGTGGGACGGGGCGAGGGAGGGGGGAAAGGGTTACCCAGATTTTTTGTCCCGGATGAAGGCTCCAGAGGGGCGCCATTGACGCTCCCAACCTGTGTTTGTGTGTGCGCGCGCGCGCGTAAATGCGCATGGGGTGGGGTGCCAAACTGGGTCTTTGACCCCTGCTAAATAAAGCCTAGCTTTGCCCCGCTTGCTGGGGCCGATGGGAGTTGGAGTTCAGGTTGCCCACTCCTGTCATAAAGGATGCCTTGTTGTAGTAGAATAACTGGTACAGCTTCTCCAAAGTTCATCTCATCAACTTTTTGGAATGCTTGAAATGTACAAAAACACATGCAACAAATTTGGAGTTGTGGGTGGGTTTTGAACCAAGAACCATGTAGATGCTACACAATCATTTTCTGAAACTAAACTCTCTCTCTCTCTTTCTCTCTCTCTGTGTATAGGAAGACAGGATCACAGTCACTGGTCAAGCCCTCAGTACTTTCAGAATGTGTGTAGGGTTTTTTTTTAAAGAAGGTATGCACAAACAGAAGCAGGTTTTGGTGCGACTGGCTCTGCTGCACTGGGAGCCAACACTAGAGGGCGCTGCAGGGCTTCACAACTATAATGCAGGGAATGGAGCAGAACAGAAGACGAGAGGCATCGGGGTGCTGAATTTTAGCTTTGCACAAGGTGCTGCTGAAATGTTAAAGAACAGAGTCCGCCACTGGCACAAATGTGTGTTGAAGGAGGGGGAGACTAGTGGGCACAGTCCCGCCCCCTATATGTGTGTTTAGTAAACCACTCCATAAGTTCTCTCAAAAAGTCTTATCATAGCATAAGAGTTCCCCAGGGCTGCTGAAATTCAGGGAGACATATTCTGGGCCCTGCTACCAACAGCCTGGTGACCCAGGGGCACTGATTTCTTTTATTTATTTATTTGTTTGTTATATGCTTCTCATTCCAATGAATCACAAAGCAGCTTACAAACAATAAATAACGATAACAACACACATACAGCACAATTAATGGCATGAGTAAAGCAATTGCCTCCCATAGAACACCACCGACGAAACAACTAAAAAAATAAGCTAAACAGCGCAATTGTAAAAAGTCAAATTATAGGATTCACAAAGTGCTATGGCATTCATCACCTATGAAACAACGCCAACCGCATTAACAAAATGACAACCAAGTGCTGCCAAATTCATACACACACGCTCCCCATCCCCATGATTCAAAATCTTTCATTTGGTTCATTAAAAGGCAAGTTCACATAATGCCCATGGCAGCAAGGCTGTCCAAAAGGTTCTTCGGGCTGGAGGTGAGCAGCTGAGCCTCTTCTTCACAGAAAAAACATCAGGGCAAAGTAGAAACCAACCCTTCTTGCATCCATTGGGCAGTGAAGGGACAGCTGCTCCCAATGCTTGCTTTCCTCTTCCCTCCTCATTCCTTTATCCGTTTATATCCCATTTTTAAGGTTGCAAGCCTGCAAGCAGGAGCTGTCTTATTTTTAAATATCTGTAGAGCACGTTTTACAATAAGAAAAGTATCCCTGCATCTCTGCGTTCCTTATAACTTCTGCCATTGTTTAAAACCACCACCTGAAGCAGAAATGGTGTGAAGTGCAGTTAAAAATATGGGAGAAGCCAAAATGAGCAGATCCTTTCATCTCTATTCAAAGATAAATAAGATAAAGCAGTCAGAGATACAAATCATGATTTTTTTTTTAATGCTCATAAGTCTTTTAGAAATGTTATAATGTTGTCTACCCCCTTTTTCCCAGAAGGAAATGATAGAAATCCATCAAATAGACTTATCACTCCATGAAATCCATTTTCAATGTGGTACCAGGTGACCGGTACCCTATTGTCCTCCAGTCTTTTCTTGTAGAGGATGCCATCGTCCCGTAGCACATCATACTCACAAGTTACGATGCATGTTTTTGGAAGTTGGCCGACCACAACGTCATCTACCATGAGCGGAGAGAAAGTTGGCTCTAGCGCTTGCTTCACCACTTCGTAGAGGTTGTCCTCATAGGAAGCGGCCGTAGGTGGCTTGTAGCCTCTGACCTTAAACTCACTGGGGATGTTTTCCGAGCTGATCCACTTCCCAAATCTCATTCTTATGTCTCTGGGAACATGGCAGCCCTGCATAACACTTTCTAACACTGACAAGTCCTTATTGAGATACCGCAAGGCTGCGCCAATGACGTTCTCCCGGTACAAGATGGGGACGGCTCGGTTTTGCTGGTACGAAGGCAGGTTGAAATCTATCGCTTGAAGGCCAGGATAGATCAGAATCTGAGCAAGTGGCCTCGGGATACCAGATCTGGTCACTAATGCCTGGCAGACAGAGGCGGCAATATTCCCTCCGGCGCTGTCTCCGCAGATGACGATGCAGGCCGGGTCGACTCCATAATCTTTGGCGGTTTTCATAAAATGTATGCTGGCAGTCAGGCAGTCCTTATACTGGGATGGATATTTCTCCTCAGGGGCCAAATGATACCTGGGATATGATTTATTTGTATATAAGACAAATCTGGCCAGAATAACCAAACCAAAATAACAGCACGATAGGATCACTTCTTATACACATTTAACTCACATGATTTCAACCATACGTGGCTCATAATCAGGCATAGGGAAACTCGGCCCTCCAGATGTTTTGGGACTACAACTCCCATCATCCCTAGCTATCAGACCAGTGGTCAGAGATGATGGGAATTGTAGTCCCAAAACACCTGGAGGGCTGAGTTTGCCTATGCCTGCTCATAATGAAAGGTTGTAGCCAGCCAGCTGAGTAGACCTATTACAATTAATAAGCCTAAGTTACTCATGGTCATTAACATTAATGGGCCTACTCTGAATAGGATCCAACCCCAAACTCATAGCCATTTCCCATCAGGCACTGCAATCTGAATTTACTTTGCATTTGGCTGGGTGTGTTTCAGTTGGGAAGAGATAGCCTTCTGCTGGGGTCCACCATTAAGTGATGCCAACTCCACATTCTGTCCACTGAATGTGTGACCAGGCAGGTGCCAGTGGTGGAATCCCTGCAGCGTTTAGCAAATTCAGCAGTATAACGCTATTAGTCAGTTCCCAGGGTCTGTTTACTTACCCAACAGAAAGCACCACCGAATCACTTTCTTTGGCAATGTAGCGGCAAAGGGGGTCATAGGAATCTGGAAAGACAAGATGTGTGGGCCATGTTAGAAGAGTTCTGGAGGCCGTCTCACCCTAGCAGAAAGTTGGGATTAATACAGGTGTTATGAAGGCAAATGATTCCAATTAGAACAACCAAAGCAACCAACATGTTCCATACAGTTTCAAAATAGTAGAATCATAGAATGGTAGAGTTAGAAAGGACCACGAGGCTCGTCTAGTCCAGTGTTTCCCAACCTTGTGCCTCCAGCTGTTTTTGGCCTACAATTCCCATCATCCCTTGCCACTGGTCTTGCTAGTCAGGGATGATGGGAGTTGTAGTTCAAAAACAGCTGGAGGCACAAGCCCTGCAATGGAGGAATCTTTTCTTCAACATTTTGTTCAACCGGGGGCGTCTTGCCCATAGATATACTTAAGACGGCCCTGCTCACAACTCTAAGGTTAAGAATTTAATGATCTGCCAAATGAGCTAAATATGATTCACCTTTGGTCTTTGTGCACCTGAGCACTTCAAGATTATTCATTTATAGCCCTTTATGAGGAAACCAACAAAGCATCTTAGAATGCTCAGAGACACAAGGACCATTCCATGCTCCCCACCCCCACCCCAAACTGTATGTTACGCATTTTTCAGTACACTTGAAAGGACAAGGTGAGCTCCTCACCGCCAGCTATTCCCGGCTCACTCTGGGACAATCTGTTAAGATGGAGAGTAGGAAGATACCCAACTGATGTAATCTGTTCTAAACTATTTTCAAGCTGAATGTTTGGCTGCATTATTTACATCATATGCACCTGGAATGTTACTTGTTGCATAGGGGTATATGGAGATGATCTGTTATATGTATTTTTAGAAACTGAAAAATAAAGTTAAGAAGAAGAAGAAGGGGAAACATACAAACAGACAAACAAACAAACAAACAAACAAACAAACAAACAACACTTGTAGCTCTTTTGGGATCTGAAGGCATGAAGACTTTTCCCTCTCTAATCATCCATAAGGACATCTCTCTCTCTGTGTGTGTGTGTGTGTAGCATGAGAAACTCATCCTCAGTCTGATCTCAGCCAGTGGCACTGACTATCACCTTTCCCCTTCTTGGTCTCATTGTTTCCCTTGCAAGGAGGAAGAGGAGGAGGAGGATGGAGACAAAAGTAGAATTAGTTGAGTCTGCCTGTCATTGGCTTTGGCTACTGTTGGCCTCCCTGCTTTCCACTGTACCAGTCCCAGTAGGCACCAGCCATCACAGGTACCAACACTGAGTTAGATGGACAGAAATCCACAACCAGAACAGCATTCATCCCTCAATTACTACAAAAATCTTTCTCATTTCATCCAGCCCAACTGCTCTATCCTCCCTCAAGTGCTGCAGAGGAAATTGCCACAGACAAATCAGAGGTTGGTCCCAGAGGTAGAGCCCCAGACTTGATTTTTGTCCCTTAAGGTTGCAGCTCAAAGCTTAAGGTCAAATGTGAGGTTGTGTTGTTGTTGTTTTTTAAAGTTCTGTGTAGGTAAAGGTAAAGGGACCCCTGACTGTTAGGTCCAGTCGCAGACGACTCTGGGGTTGCGGCGTTCATCTCGCTTTACTGGCCGAGGGAGCCGGCATACAGCTTCTGGGTCATGTGGCCAGCATGACTAAGCCGCTACTGGCAAACCAGAGCTGTGCACGGAAACACGGTTTACCTTCCCGCTGGAGTGGTACCTATTTATCTACTTGAACTTTGACGTGCTTTTGAACTGTTAGGTGGGCAGTTGTGTAGGTGGTTCTATCTTATTTGCTAAAAAACAAGCAGTTCAAACTGGTACTGATAAACAATGATGTTGTTGACATGTGGAACCAACTGTACGTACTACTGATTCCCTGGCTAAGGTTACTTTTTGACGTCAACAACCAACACAGTGGAGTAACTTCTTTCCTGTTGGGCCATTTCCCCTGTTGAAAATTATTTCCACCTGCTCCTTTTCTCATCTATTGGAGGACCATCTCCCTTGTTCTTTGGCTTCATGTCTCCGGTTTTTTTGACTGACTGCCCACACCAAAATGATCAAATCTTTCCTTGTAGAAAAACTGCTAACAAAATAAAAATAAAAAACCTGGATGGATTTGCTTGCAGTTTATCCAGTTTCAGTCTATAAGGGCAAATTTGCCTGCAACTTTCATTCACTTCTGCAGGAAAAAAATATAGCTTTTTTTTTTAGATTTCTGATGGGGCTGGGGGCAGAGCATCAGATTTCAGAGATCTGATTTTGACCTGAATAACAAATCAAATAGGAAAAGCAGATTTGATCCAAGAGAAATTCAGTTGTTTCTCAATGCTACAGTTACAGATAGGTAGCCGTGTTGGTCTGCCATAGTCAAAACAAAAAAAATTCCTTCCAGTAGCACCTTAAAGACCTTAGTTGGTCTTTAAGGTGCTACTGGAAGGAATTTTTTTTGTTTTCTCAATGCTACAGACAGTATTTATCTTGGTGACGATCTAGGTATTACATTTATTTCATTATTAGTAACCATGACTAGCTTCTTTTTAAGTAATACAAAAAATGCCATCCCACAGCATGTGCGGAAAGAGAATTTTAACCATTTCCTCCCTAGCCTTGAAAATTGTCCCCATGTTACAATATAATTATGAATAAAAATAAATAATTAGTTATTATTACTATCATCATCTATCATCCTAAATAGAAATAAATGAAGAGGATGAGAACTATTATAATGTTGCATTTCAGGGAGATGGAGTTATGGATCCTCAGGTCCATGGACAAAATGAAGCCCTCAAGTCCTTTCTATTTGACCCTTGGCCATCTCAGGTGAGATACCCTCTTCCCCAGGCCACACCCATCAACACCTCTGCTCCATGCCTTCCTCAAGTGGAAGTGGCTGACTTTTCAGGATGCCTTACTGATGCTGCCGAACATCCAAGATCCTCCATGGAAGTAGATGACTCCTCTTCTTTCTCTGGCACCCCGTGGCTGGTAAACCCTTACTGGGATGTCCTCAAACACCAGGTCCCTAATGTCAAGCTTGGGGTCCTCCCCCATTCTCTTTACTTCTTGGATGTAGCGGTAGAAGTGAATCTCAGTGCACAGGTGGAGATTCTCCAGAATCTTCCCCTGTTTGGAAGAAAAATACAGTGAGAGGAGAGGAGGTGATATGAATTCCAAAGAGCGTGTTCTCTCCTGTGCTGGATGTTTCCATTCTCATAAGAAGAGTCCAATGGCACCATCTAGCACAGCATCCTGTTCTCATAGTGGCCAACCAGATGTCTCTTCTGGGAAGCCCTCAAGAGGTAACTGAGCACAAGAGCCCTCTCCCCTCCTGTGGTTTCCAGCAACTGCTCTCATTCTCCCACTCTGCCCCACTGCAGTTACTTATTGTAACTGTTAGGAGTGGATTTCTGTTAAATCTTGAAATGCTAATATTTAATGTTATTCTATATTATTTTAATAAATGTTGTTTTATTTGCATATTGCATATTGTATTATGCATATTGTCTTGTTTTGTCTTGTTTGCGTCTCCGCTTCACCACATGCAGCTCTGGGTGACCTTGGGCTAGTCACGCTTCTTTGAAGTCTCTCAGCCCCACTCACCTCACAGAGTGTTTGTTGTGGGGGAGGAAGGGAAAGGAGAATGTTAGCTGCTTTGAGACTCCTTAAAGGGAGTGAAAGGCGGGATATCATATCCAAACTCTTCTTCTTCTTTATATGATGCTAGCTGCTCTGAGCCTGGCTTTGGCTGGGGAGGGCGGGATACAAATAAAATTTATGATGATGATGATTATATTCCCTATTTCTGTCATTGTCATGTATAGCCCTAGCAGAGTGCCAGATTCTGAGTTCTTAGCGGATGAACAAGACACCTCACAGTCTGAGGATACTGAGGAGCAGGCAGGGCCCCCTGAGGCCAACACTGAGTCTACTTGTGAGTGAGGTGTCTCTTCGTAAGTAAGCAATCCCTGACACTAGGGCTGGGAGATGTCAGGTTTTCAACAGCATGATGTATCATCAGCCAAGCATTGTGGTCTGGCGATACACTGCGAGGCTGAAACTACAAGCTGCAATGGCCCCAGCCCAAGAGGTGCTAGGTGAAGCTGCCACAGCTCTCACTATGGGAGCTGAGGCACTTTTCACCACAGTGCCTCGTGGGCCGGGACAATGCAACTTGTTTGCGAGGTTCAGCTGGGGAGTGGGAGGGCTCCCTCCTCCCAGCTAAGCGAGTCCCCCGCAGGGACCTCGGGACTTCTTTCTGAGGCTCAGCTAGGGGGAGGGAAGGCTCCTGCCCCCCAGCTGAGCATGAAACTGGTTTTGCCCCCCAACTGAGCATGCCCCATGCCTCTCCAGCTTGCATGCGAGGCATCAGAAGAAGAAGAGTTTGGCTTTGATAGCCAACATTATCACCACCCGAAGGAGTCTCAAAGCGGCTAACATTCTCCTTTCCCTTCCTCCCCCATAACAAACACTCTGTGAGGTGAGTGGGGCTGAGAGACTTCAGAGAAGTGTGACTAGCCCAAGGTCACTCAGCAGTTGCATGTGGAGGAGCAGGGAAGCGAACCCGGTTCACCAGATTACGAGTCTACTGCTCTTAACCACTACACCACACAGGGCTCGCTTAGCTGGCAGGTGAGAGCAGTTTAAAACAGCGGAGGGATGAACAACTGAGCATGCCCCATGCCTCTCCAGCTTGCATGCGAGGCATCAGAAGAAGAAGAGTTTGGCTTTGATAGCCAACATTATCACTACCCGAAGGAGTCTCAAAGCAGCTAACATTCTCCTTTCCCTTCCTCCCCCACAGCAAACACTCTGTGAGGTGAGTGGGGCTGAGAGACTTCAGAGAAGTGTGACTAGCCCAAGGTCACCCAGCAGCTGCATGTGGAGGAGCGGAGATGCGAACTCGGTTCACCAGATTACGAGTCTACTGCTCTTAACCACTACACCACACAGGGCTTGCTTAGCTGGCAGGTGAGAGCAGTTTAAAACAGCGGAGGGAGGAACAAGCTATATCAGCCTGGCGATACAGCTTGCTCCTCCCTCTGCGGTGTGAGGGGCAGAACGATGGCGGCTTCACCCGACCGTAACTTTCGGGTGAAGCAGCCACTGCTCCTGAGTCCCTCTGCTACCAGTGGCCTGGTGTTGAAAGTGACACTGGTAGCAGAGGGACCCAGGAGTGGAGGCGGTTTCGCCTGTAATATACCGCCCAGTGAAGCAGCCTTCACGGCCTGCCCTTCATACATCAGTACATCGCCCAGGCCTCAGGCCTACCTGATACTCCTTCACTGCCAGCAGCCGTGGGTGGCTCTCGAAGAGGATGAGACAAATTCATGGAGGATAAATCTGTCAACGGCTATGCTCTGCTGCCACAGTTGGAGGCAGCAAAGCTTCTGAATACCAATTGCTGGGAAGTGAAAGAAGGGCAGAGGCTCTTGTGCTCGAATGCCACTTGCTGGTTTCCCACAGGCATCTGGGTGTACAGGATGCTAGACCATTGGCCTGTTCCAGCAGGCTCTTCTTGTGTTCCTCCTGTCAGGAGGCCAGGGTATATAATGCCTTCCTGGTTCTGGAAGAAACACGGATCTCTGTCTTATTTCCCGAGTCTAGTTACTCTGCTCTGGTGTGTTATACCTTGCATGGCACCCTGTGATATTGACCTTTCCCTTACTTCTGGTGTGTGGACACACACTGCCCCCTATGTTTAAACTGGGTTTGTTTAGACTGTGCTGCACTGGAAGCTCTGTTTGTGCTGGTCAGTACTTTGGTGAAAGTCTTATATCTCCTGGGGCTGTAGTTCCTGAAAGCACCCACAAGAACACGAGTGAAGAAGCAGGGAAGACGCAAAAACACAATGTGAACCATAATCTACTATTGCTCCAAAGAGTGCTGTGTTTGGGGGTGGCCCACAAGTCCCATGGAGGACACTGCCACATTGTCCCTGTTATATAATAATAATAATAATAATAATAATAATAATAATAATAATAATAATTTATTATTTATACCAAGCCCATCTGGCTGAGTTTCCCAAGCCACTCTGGGCGGCTTCCAATTGAGTATTAAAAACAATACAGCATTAAATATTAAAAACTTCCCTAAACAGGGCTGCCTTCAGATGTCTTTTAAAGATAGGATAGCTGCTTATTTCCTTCGCGGGCGCCACTACTGAGAAGGCCCTCTGTCTGGTTCCCTGTAACCTCACTTCTCGCAATGAGGGAACCGCCAGAAGGCCCTTGGTGCTGGATCTCAGTGTCCGGGCTGAACGATGGGGGTGGAGATGCTCCTTCAGGTATGCAGGACCGAGGCTGTTGAGTCTAGTTGGCTTCTCTACAGTGGTACCTCTGGTTAAGAACTTAATTCATTCTGAAGGTCCGTTCTTAACCTGAAACTCTTCTTTTTTTTAAAAAGATATTTATTAAAGTTTCAAAAGTTATATAAAAGAAAAAACAGTAATACAAACAAAACACAGACAAAAACAAGTATAGTTTCAATCCCTTATTTTCTTATAACTTACTTCCCCGACCTCCTCATACCTCCCCTTTCTGTATTCCAATTTCTAATTCATTAGTTCAGCAAATCCTCTCCCTTAATTTTACTTAATTTTTAACCTTTCTTTTCTTTTTACTTAATCATTACAGCTGACAACCACTTAATTTCTAAAATCAACATCGTTCTAACATTCATTAATTTTGCAATGTTTCCTGAGATAGTCTTTAAATTTCTTCCAATCTTCTTCCGCAGTCTCTCTTCCCTGGTCACGGATTCTGCCAGTCATTTCTGCCAGTCCCATATAGTCTATCACCTTCATCTGCCATTCTTCCAAGGTGGGTAGATCTTGTGTCTTCCAATACTTTGCAATGAGTATTCTTGCTGCTGTTGTAGCATAAACCTGAAACTCTTCTTAACCTGAGGTACCACTTTAGCTAATGGGGCCTCCCGCTGCCGCTGCGCGATTTCTGTTCTCATCCTGAAGCAAAGTTCTTAACCTGAGGTACTACTTCCGGGTTAGCAGAGTCTGTAACCTGAAGCGTCTGTAACCCGAGGTACCACTATATATGGAACAGGGCTGGCCTTTGTAGCACCCCTTCGGCCGTAGCCTCTCCAACCTTCCAGCTCTCCAGCCATGCTCTCTTCCTGCCACCACTACCTCTTTCATCAGTAGTTCTCCTTCTGGCTCAAGGGAACCATCAACCTAGGAAAACAAGACTGCCCGCTGCAGTCCTTGCTAGGGCTGCCATTTCCTCCGTAGCTTCTTTCTGAACCAAACCTTCCATCTGCTCCACAGTCCCTGCCATGGTCCTTTGTACTGGGGTATAATCAGGAAGGATGGATTCTTTGAACTCATACGTCACCCTTTTCCCCTTTGATGGAGCCCAGAAAACCACATGGTCAACAGGCATACATAAGAAGAGCCCATCTAGTCCGGCACCTTGGCCTCACCATGGTGGACCTGAAGGAAACTTGAACACACAGGAGCATTCAAGAGCATCCTCCCCTCCTGTGGTTTCCAGAAACTGGTACTCAGAAGCATTACTGCCTCTGGCCATGGAGGCAGAACATAGACACTGTGGCTAGTAGCCAGTGACAGCCTTATCCTCCATGAATCTGTCTAATCTTATTCTAAAGCCGTCCAAGTTGGTAGCCATCACTGCCTCCTGTGGGAGGCAGTATCATAGCTTAACGATACACTGCGTGAAGAAGTGCTTTCCTTTATCTGTCCAGAATCTCCTAACATTCAGCTTTCTTGGAGGTCCATGAGTTCTAGTGTTATGAGAGAAGGGGAGAAATCTTTCCCCTATCCGCTTTCTCTGCGCCATGCAATTTTTATGACCTCCTATTGACACATGGGATGCTGCTTTTGTGGAGTCCACCTAGTTCACTATTGCCTGCACCTGCTTTGGCCGTGGGAGAAGCTGGGGTATGAATCTGGGACCTTCTTCGTGCAGCACAAATACTCTACGATGAGTTTCAAGATTATGCCAGGGAAGATCGCATGCACAACTGTATTTACATATTTCTTTCATTCAGCCTACATACTTCCCCTTCCTATCATATTTAATTCCATCTGAAAACAGGAAGCTCTGTTATACTAAGTCGGACCACTGGTCTATCTGGCTCATCAGTATCTACACTGATTGGTGGTGGCTTTCCAGGCAGGGGACATTCCCAAGCCCAGTCCAACCCAACCTGGAGATGGTTGGGATTGAATTTGGGGACCTTCTGCATGCAAAGCAGTTGTTGAGCTACTGGGCTTTGGGTATTCTATAGACATAGGAAACTGCTTCATACCAAACCATCTCTCTTTCCAAACTGACTTGCAAGAAGTTAAAAGAGTTGTCGTGTATTAAGGATGGGGGGCTTGAGACCTCCAGCTGTTGTTGGGCTTCAGTGCCCATGTTCTCCGCTGGCTCTCGTGGGAGCTGGAGTCAATAATAATAATAATAATAATAATAATAATAATAATAATATATAATAATAATTTATTATTTATACCCCACCCATCTGGCTGGGCTTCCCCAGCCACTCTGGGCAGCTTCCAAAAATATATATTAAAATACTGTAATACATCAAACATTAAAAGCTTCCCTAAACAGGGCTGCCTTCAGATGTCTTCTAAAAGTCTGGTAGTTGACATCTGGTGGGAGGGTGTTCCACAGGGCGGGCGCCACTACCGAGAAGGCCCTCTGCCTGGTTCCCTGTAACTTGGCTTCTCGCAGTGAGGGAACCGCCAGAAGGCCCTCAGTGCTGGACCTCAGTGTCTGGGTAGAACGATGGGGTGGAGACGCTTCTTCAGATATACTGGACCGAGGCCTTTTAGGGCTTTAAAGGTCCATTCCTGTTCCATATAACATGCAACCCTGATATCCTAATGGATGCGATCTTGAGTCAGACTATAGCTTAGTGTTAAAGCATCACCCTTGTGTGCAGGAAGTCCCAAGTTCAATCCCTGGCGCTTCCAGGTAGGGCTGAGAAAGATTCCTGCCTGAAACCTGGAAGAGACCCTTCCAGTCAATGTGGAGCATACCGAGCAAAATAGTCCAATGGTCTGACTCACTATTCCTGCATTGCAGGGGGTGGACTAGATGGCCCTTGGGGTCCCTTCCAGCTCTACAATTCTATGATTCTAAGGCAGCTTGCTATATTCCTAATCACAGAGGCAATTTAAAAACAAAAAGGTTCCATCGTTAAAAAACACACGAAAAACTTACCAGGAATGATACAAGGATCAAGAACCAGTTAAGAATGCGAAGCTTCATAGGCTGGTCAATGCCAGGAGGAATCTCAGACTTGGAGAGATCACAGTAAATGGCCCAAGTGATCAGCAGAGCAAAGGAAATGATCAGTATTTGCAGGAGAATCACGAAAAAGTTGAAGACTAGCAGCATGTTCTCCAATATTGGTCGGGTGCTTCCAGTTGTTTGTTATCTCCTGGTTCCAGATGCTTGTTATCTCCGGTGTCTGCAGTTTCCCAATGTTATAAGCTGCATACTGCTTGGAACACTGTAGTAGTATCTGAGGGTGGCTGGGCTTTTTTTAGGCTCCGGTTGCAGCAAACACACAGGAAGCCCAAGAGCGTCTGAAAATAGAAGTTGGCCAACGAGCCGCTGGAGTTCTTTTAAGGTTGTGCAAGCCCTGTCGAAGAATCGGGCAACTAAGGAAGGTTAGGAAAACATGACTGTTTTGATCCCAGCTCACGTGTCCTGTGATCCATGTGCTGTTGCTTTCTTTTGGGAAAGAGCAAATTCCAGTGCCTCTCTGCCAATGGAAGTGGTTCAGGAACACCTTGCTAAACACAAGCATGTCCCCAGGTTACTCACTTCAAAGGCATCGCAATGCCAAGGGCGATTGCGAAAATGGATGCGGAGGGGTGGAGCAAGTGGTGCAAAGGGGCAGAACCCTCTCCTAATTTCTGTAACTAGCAAGACAACCACCACCTGGATTTATGTGGGTAGGGGATCTGTGTCTAAGGTTGCCTCTGAGGAAGGCTCCTTTAGATCCCTCAAGTTTTATAGCACCCAGCAGAGCATGCCCCTCTTTGTTTTCATGATTTGGGTCCAAATTAGAGTTTGAGCTGCCCTGCTGCAATCTCTCCACCCTCTTCGAGCTAACAGCAGTTTATGCCTGCCTTTTTGGCATGAACCGAGCTAGAACCAGCTCCAGGGGTAATTTAGATTATGGGGAAAGGCAAGGACTTGCAACCTTGTTTGAGAAGATAATATTACATTTTATGCTGTAAACCGCCCTCTAATATTAGGGCAAAGGACAGAAAAACAAACAAACAAATGGAAGAGGAATTTCCACAGTACAGAGACATAGTTTAGTCACTCATGGAGGACCTGGAACACAGCTGGTGAGATGTGTGGTCTGGAGAGAGTTTGAAGGGCCACACAGAGAAGCCAAGAGGGCCACATTCATATACTTGCCAATTTAGGATGGCATCCCATGCATCTGAGAAAGTGGACTGTGGTCCCCAAAAGCATATGCTTGTAACACAGTCCCTTAAATAGAAAAAGTCCACGCCACAACCACTCCCATTCCTCTGTTTCATGGAACATAGGGTTGCCAGACCTCCAGGACTGAGCTGAAGTCTCAAAATTAGCCTGTCCCTTTCCAGGTCGCAGGTGGAGGGCTTGACTCTCCAAGTGGATGATAATGCCATTTTTTTAAAAAAAGTAGACTGTGCATGTAGCTTCAGCCTGGCAGGTGTCAACTGCAGATTACTGCATAGACTCTCTTTCCCAATTAACCTCCGCCTCTGCAAATTATTGCATAGATACTCCAGGGAGTCTGCCCTCCTCCCTTTTCCCAATTAACCTCTGACTCCAGGGCTCAGAGGGAGTGCAGAGAAAGGAAAAGAACTGAGCATGGCTCAAAGGGAGGAGGGGGTTATGAGTCTGACTGTGCATCTAGTGCAGGGTGGCAGAAGTGGGCAGAATATGTGAAGAGCAGCAGCAGGAGTTAGGTTCTGCTGCCTCTGTTGCCCACAGAAACTCCCAGGTTTCAGGTTTAGGCCTTGAATTCTCAGGATGATCATGACCTGACAACCCTAATGGAACAGCATCCTTCTCGAGATCCACTATCTGATCTTTCTGGAAACAAATGTAGATCATTTATCTTTTCCATCAGTGTGGGGTGTGTGTGTGATTAGGTCTCTGCCTTGAGTGTTTCTTTGTGTTATTTTTTTAAAGCCAATCTTAGATTTTGTTCGTACTATTCTTAAACTTATTTAACCTGTTTTTATTGCATGCTTGCAGGTTGCCTCGGGACTTATCTGAAACATGATTCCTGCATTCATAAAATTGTAATAATTAATATTAGTGTTTATAATCTTTGTGATGCCGGAATATACTTGCATTTCAGTGACATTGCAGGGATGTTGGGAGTGACTGGAAGAATACAATGCACATCCACCCTCACCTCCAAACGAGACCCAGCAGGTTTAGCTTCCAATTATGCGACTGTTCAAGGAGCCTCCTAAGGGCATTTTCTCAAAGGCAATATGCAGATGACATATGAGTCCAAGAGCTACCCTGCTTAATAACATCAAAGACCAAACTACATAGGCATCCTGCTTCCCACAGTTTCCTACCTGATGCATCTGAGAGGCCCACAACATCTGAGCCTTGGACTTCAGGGTCCAAGTTGGACCTCGGTGCAGCACAAAGAGCTCCCCCTACAGTTGATCCTCTGGGATCCTCCTCCAGTCTTCAGTATCCGTATATTCTCTTATCAAACCTTTCCTTCTGTCACTGCATAGTTTGAGCAATCATCCTTCAACAGCCTGTTAATAATAAGGATGCACAGATTTTCTTTCAAAAGAATAAGTGGCTAGTAGCAACAATGACTGCCGCCTACTGGACAAGGGTACTACTTTTACTATCGGAGGCAGTATACTGCATATTTCACATCTGGCAACCAATGTGCCCCTTTGGTTTCAAATGGTACATGGGTAGACGAGTCTAAGAAGCCCAGGACACAAATTTCCACAGCCCTCTGCCCTCTAGCAGCTTCGGTGGTTCATTTACCAGAAGTAATGTATTTAGCGTTAACTCTAAAAGTGTATACAGTGGAACCTTGGTTGTCAAACTTAACCCGTTCGACTCCCATAACCATTCAAAAACCAGGGCACAGCTTCTGATTGGCTGCAGGAGCTTCCTACACTCAATCGGAAGCCATGGAATCTGCGTCGGATGTTCGGCTTCCAAAAAATGTTTGCAAACCGGAACACTCACTTCTGGGTTTGTGACGTTCGGGATCCAGTTTGTTTGGGAGCCAAGCCGTTCGACAACAAAGGAACCACTGTACTCAGTTCTGACCAAATGAAGCCGCCTGCTATATATTGTGCTCTAGGGGGTTTAGTTTGGTCAGAATCAAGTATACATTGGTATCCATGTACTATTTGAAACTAAAGGGGCGCATTGTGTTTTTTCCTGCATGTGCGTTTTTTCCTGTTCTCCTTCCCCACTACAGAAGCATAGAGCTGATATTGCGCATAGAGCTGATGTCTTGCTTTCATACTGTCAAGAAAGCAACTGCAGACCCTCCAAGTGTCCCTATTTTCCAGGGTCACTCCTGGATTTACAAAAGCTGTTCCAGTTTCTTATTTGATATCGGAATGTTCCACTTTGCCTTGTTGTTTAGTCATTTAGTCGTGTCCGACTCTTCAAGACCCCATGGACCAGAGCATGCCAGGCACTCCTGTCTTCCACTGCCTCCCGCAGTTTGGTCAAACTCATGCTGGTAGCTTCGAGAACACTGTCCAACCATCTTGTCCTCTATCGTCCCCTTCTCCTTGTGCCCTCAGTCTTTCCCAACATCAGGGTCTTTGGTCTTAGGACATCCCTATTTTCATCAGAGAAATGTTGGGTGGTATGGTAGGACGTCCCTATTTTCACTGGAGGGTATGGAGTTATGTGACCCCCAAGTCAAGGAGATAGGTAACTATACAACATTTAGAAGACATCTGAAAGCAGCCCTGTGTAGGGAAGTTTTTTTTTGAAATGTTTAATGTTTTATTATGTTTTTATATATGTTGGAAGTCACCCAGAGTGGAATTATTATGGAATAGGACATTCCTCTTTTCTTCGGAGAAATGTCGGAGGGCATGTATCTGGTTGGCTGGCAATCACTGATTAGGTGCTGGTACTTTGCAGTGTGCATATTTCTGGAGAGATCTGTGACTATCAGGTAGTCCTTGGAATGCCATGAGAATAAGTCAGTTCCTATCTTCTCCTAGGCCCCAATTCATCATCTTGCTCTGCTTGTTGCTGTGAGTTGCACTTTAAGAAGGTGGAACAACCTCCTACAATGGCTGCTATTTCCTTCTTAATCCTAGGCTAATACATCACCTCTCGTGCACCTCCTAATGCCACAATGACTCTCACGGATTAGTTGTAACATTTCTTTACAGAGGCTACTAGTTATCACCACTTAGTTTCGATTGAAGACAATGTCATCTATCACTGTGAGTTCATGCCCGCAATTTGAAGAATCTCAAATCACACATGTTTCTGGATCTACAGTGATGGATCTTTATCTGTTTCCTGATTGAGTTGTTATAATTTTTCATTTGCCACAGGAAGGGAAGCAATAAACATATCTACATGAGCTCCCATTCCTGCCTCTTGTTTTCTACTAGTTCAGAGGAAGGCACAGCTCTTGGAAGTGTGCCTGCAGTGAGCAATTTTTTTCACTGTTGTGCAAGTCACCTCTAAGTCACCTGCAGCTTGAGCATCATTTGTTGGATCCCATAGTGGACAGTATTCAAGGGATTGTGGAAAAAAGCTGCGAGAGAATTGTGATCTGTTTCCACAGTCGCTGGACATTAATATATATCCAGTAAATCTTTCACAGGAAAACAATATACGTACTAAGTAGCTCTTTCTCAATCTGTGCATACTGAGTTTCAGCATCAGCGAGGGACCTTGAGGCATATGCTACTGGTTGCCAAACATCATATGCCAATATTTTTGTAAGAGCCCAGCACCCAAACTAGACCGTGAGACAGCTGCTGAAATCTGGATAGGTCTAGTTGGTCAGTAAACTTTAACACCAGCTGTCTTCTATGGTGTTGCTTCAAAACATTCCTGGAAGCCTTCTGTTCTGCATCCCAGCACCATTCATTTTTCACTTCCAGAAGCTGCCAAAGAAGTTTCGTTGCCGTGGATAAATTAGGGGTATTCCCCCCCCCCCAAGGTAATCTCTGCCCCCTCAAATCTTTGAACATACTTCTTTGAATGTTGAGCATGGCATATATATATAATTTTCAGATATTTTATTGCACTAGCCAAAATGAGGAGGGGTGGGGGGAGAGAAACAGTAGTGACTACATATGCAAAAAAAACCATGGTCAAATCCACCAAAAGTTCTCATTACACAAATAAACTGTGCAGATTAGATCTCAGAGCCCCCTTTGCAATTGACTGCTAGCCCATCCAGTTCTTCCTTCCTAATCTTCCTAGCTGCCAGGGTATAGAGAGCCACCGTATAAGTCACAGAGCCATTTGAACCACCCCACCCTGGTTAGATTTGTTTCCTTCGTGAAAATGGGTTTTATGAATCGATTTCCTGGGTCTGCATATAGTGGACATTGTAGTAAGTAATGGCAAATGTCCTCT